TTATCAAGACACAATAACAAGAATATACCGTAAATTTCTGAAAATAAGCCCCGGGGCTTATATTTTTCAAAGGCCCTTTTTGGGGGGCTTATTTTTGGAGGGGCTTATACATGGAGGGGCTTATACATGGAGGGGCTTATTTTCGGAATTTTACGGTATTTAAGGGAACTGCCAAGAAAACTAAGACAAATTCTCTTTGGATTGTACTAAATTGTGTAATGTGAAATTCTTTAATTTTCTATCATTGATATTTGATTCCGTATTCCGTTTCTGTTTCCGTTTCCGTTTCCGTTTCCGTGATTCCGTTTCCGTTTCCGTGATTCCGTTTCCATTTCCGGATTCCGGATTCCGTGTTTTAGTGCTGCCCTCCTTGACCGTTAAAACTGACGACGTCACAAAGGGTAGAAAGGACCTGGATCCGCACGGGCGGTTACGGGCGGTTCAGGGGCGAATGGGTTAAATAAACATATACATGTACGGATAATTTACTGTTCAGAATTTCCTCTGTCTCCTAACCTTTATCATTCATAGGTGACAATGGACATTCTGGTTTTGGCCCAGTTCAAACTTCAAACTTTTCATGTAAGTATACAAACTTAATACCTATCCTGAATGACACAAGTTCGATGGTTAATTTATACATCAAACTAAATTAGTTGGACGCAATTCCCTTTCACAATGTCCAATGGTCTACAATGTTAACCAATAGAATAAAATTATAGTGATTTTACGCATTAGCTGGTTTGGCACATGAAGAGTTTGACGTTTCAAATGAAATCGCTCCTCAGTCAAAATTCCAATGTGGGTCACTCGAACTTGTTATAACTACCTTTCAACTGTTCAGTAAGTTGTGATACTCTGTCTGCCAGTCTGAAAAGAATTGTCTGCAGTTCTGTTTTCCTTTCACTTGCTTTTGCTTCATAGAGGTCATAACAAAGAGATGGAATTCCTGTACCAACTGTTATAGCAATTTTATTTGCTATCTGTGCTACAGATATGCTGCCACTCTCGAATTCTGACCTGTTGAATTATATTTAGTTTTCTTCAGTATCCTCACCTACCCTTAACTTCTAATAATTCAGTAAATGTGTTAAGACATAGCAACAAATGACCTTGTACCCAGGGTTTTCAATAAGAGCCGGCAACTATTTCACATGAACTTGCCATCTACTTTTCTTTGGAAATTACATGTACCCCGGTTTTTATAAACAACATGAATTAAAACAGACACTGAAACAACCAATGGTTCATAGCTATTGGCAAGAAGAAATAAATAAATAATAGTCATAGAGTATTCATGTGCTGTCACTGAATAAAAAAGTCAAAATTCTATGATGTCTGTGTGTTCTGTTCAAACACTCTAATTAAATTTTTTTGGGGGGGAGGGGGAGGAGCCCTCTCCCCAAACTCCCTAGAAACTTGTGCCTTCGGTGCTCGAAAGTCGCACCTTAAGCATGAGGTTTTTCCTTCTCCGCCTCCTCCAAAGCTTCTGCCACCTACTTAAAACCTTACTGAAAACCCTGTGTACAAAACCTTGTTGTTTTGGGTAAATTAAGCCGTTGCGACACTTCCATTGTCATGATCTGTTTTATTTCAACAGTTTTATTATTTTTTTTCATCTAATCATATACTAGTGTTTTATTTGTCATCACCGTGCATGAAATTCAACTCAGCAAATAAAATCAATAAATTATCAGTAATCTGTAATGCACCTTTAAAAGAAAAATCATTGGTGGTTTTCATGGAGGAAAAAATGTCATGCTCTTGGATCACCAAAGGGTCATAATTCTTTCCTTTACACTTTCTAAAAATTGGGTTAGTTGGCCTTGGAAAACCAAACACTTTATGGGATTTTGGAAGCATTTGGGAACAGAATAAGGGAAATTTAATTGAAAAAAAAAAATCTTAATTTGGAAAGACATGATTTTTTTCATCGGTATGGTTTCCAGCTGGAAGTTGACTCACTAGAATTCAGCTTACATTACCAAAAACAATATTTGTGTCATGCTCACCTGAATCTTGCAAAATATGTGTCATATCCATCAACTGCAGCCAGTTCTCTCTGCAAAATATACATTTGGAAAAAAATTCAGAAACTAAAATTAATAATGGCCACGATGCACTTGACACACAAGTTATATGAAAAGAAAAGTTGTTGCAAAAAATAGTTTGTTATCTTACATGGGAATCGAGTTGTGTTTTGTCCAGTTGTAAGTGCCACACATCAACACCATCAGATGCACTAATAATCCAAACAAAATACATGTAATTTAATACCACATTAAAGAGTTTTCCCATGTTGATGTATGATGGCAAATAAACAAGGAAATGCTTATAGAACATGCAACATAAGACATGCCATCCCTGGGGGAGGGGGAGGGCATAGCGATTTGGGCCCTTTAAAGACAGGATGACAAAACCAGCAATGACACAGGGACACAAATTACAACAAAAATAAGCTTATTTCAATATTCTTTGCTACACAATAAGCTAAGATAAGGCAATATTTTTTCCACTACTTTTATTTTTTGTTTCCCTTCTTCATTTTTTCCAAAACCCCTCCTACTGTAAGGGTCAGCTAACTGTTTTAATTTTAAGATTCGAAATTATATACCCTGGTTAGGACACAGCGGTACTTTTCTGTAGAGGCAATAGAAGATAGTGCACCCCCTAGGCCATAAGTACCCTTTTCCTTCGCCTCTGTGCCACAATATGCTTGCATCGCTGGTGAAAACCTAGCTTAACACATGTATACAGGCTTGTAATTCCATTATTATTTTATCTATTGGACATATACATGTGTTTCAGACGAACCTCCTAAAGAAACCCACATAAATGTCACGAATCCTTTAAACAGAGATTGTTCCACTGTCTAGTTCAACAGGCTAGAATCTTCTGGGGGGTCGTCAGGATTAAAGAATTTTCTAACTAATTTTGTGACAGCCCTGCCATGTTATCTATTCTGTTTTAATACCGGCTGAGGTCGTGAAATGTTTTTACATCGTATTTTCCAAAACCTATCCCACCGCGAACCTAACATTTTGGGAAGCGCAGACATCAAGCGTTTGGTTGTAAACAAGGCGGAGAGGAGGAGAAAATGAAGACACAAACTACGATTCAAAATCCGCACTGTGTCGTTTAAAAACATTTTTCGTTGTTGGAGAAAGAAACACTTACTTAATAATCCAGAAGGAACCTTCCTCGGAAAGTCTTGTCCATACAAGAAATTTAACAGGCCCGCAGAGGGCAGTAGTATGAAGTGCCTCCACTTTATTTGCCCTCAACAATGAGGCCAAATCGATGGACCCTTCTGAAGCCTCCGCCATTTTGGCTACTCTTGCGAGTGCTTTCGGTGGCTATCACGGGGTGGACCTTACCCGAAAGGGCCCGTAAGGGTTCGGTTTTCCGGCTGGTTTTCACTCGACTTTCCCTTATCCTTCGAAACTGTTTTCGCAAATGAATGTACATTTTTCTTATTTTATGACAATAATGTATTTTTGAGAAGCAAATCAAAGGCGGCTCAGTTTAGTAACAGAAAAAAAAAAAACACTTCAGAGGTGCCGTAAATTGTCGGGCTTCAGGTTCGATTTAACTCTGGAAATCCTCGTACAGATCATCGCAAAGCATGATTGGATACCTTTCTTTTCATTACCCGCCATCTGCTGTTTCAGAGCTTTGATGCACAGAAAGCTCAGAGCTTGAATTGCCTGCTACATCATCTTTAGAAAACGGTTCCTGGCTACATTGAAACATAGGCGCTGCTGGGCGGGGGGGGAGGCACACACAGCTTGTTGGTGAGCCGCGCGAAAGTGGGAAAAAATGACCGATTAACGTACGTCAAGGACAGCTGTATCACCAGATTTGAGAACACCTTGTGACAGTCCGAACTCTAGCAACGCTCTCATTTTGTGTGCGTTTTTTGTAATTTGTTTTGTATTTTGCTTTATTGTTTGTTTGTTTGCTTGTTGTTTTTGATGTTTTTTTTCCTTTTTGTTTTATCTTTGGGTATCTGAATGTTACGGTTCAGGGCCCTTTCTCGAAAAAACCGTGAGGCCCAGTAACTTTTCGGCCCGCAAAGCTGTTTTAAGTTTGTCGTGTTTACATTTAAGATCAAAGTTTCAATAATTTGGAAAATGAAATGATGAAACTATCAGTACAGTAGTTTGCGCAGCAAGCGTTTCCGTGCGGTTCAGAGCAAAGAACGAGGAACCAGAGTCTAGAAGTCAAAGACTGCGCGGCTCTCGTTCCATTTCTCGCGCGGCCAAAACCGAAAATCTCGTTCCTCGGTCTACTAAACGGAAACGCTTGCAACGAAGGCTACAGTTTACGAAGCAAAACTGACTGGTATGTGAGCAAGGATATGTGCAACTATTCAAAAGGTTTAAATTTTAAAATTTGCCTACGGGCCCAAAAGGCTACCGGGCCTTTCGAGCCCAAAATGTTGACGGGACTTTCGAGAAACGGGACTCTACGTGGTCCCTCCTCTCTCTGTGGCGCAAAGATTGACCAAGGGGGGTGGGGGTGGGTTGGTTGAAACAGGATGACTACGAGAACGGATTTTTTCAAGGCTAAGTAGTGTTCGCGCGTGAACCAGCGTCGTTTTGGCGGGAAACGCGGTAGTCGTAGTCAGTGTACTACTACATATGGGTTTTAGCGAGAATATCGTAGTAGCGGAAACAAGTTTTCAAATGTTAGAAGTCTTATCTTTTTGCAATTGGGAGATGGTCTATCTTCCTTCGATAAAATTAACCGTGTTAACGTTTCTGGTGAAAAAAAGTAAAATAAGCTTCCCTGGGTGTCTGTTTTTTTTTTTGGAGAATACAGGACTCAAGTGTCGTTCTTGAAGTCGTCGTTCTAGCCTAGTCCTCGAATCTAAAGATCACTAATGTTTTGAAACGAACTGATTTTAAAAAAGAGAGAGAGAACTGACTTTTAACTGAAGCGAATCGATATGAAGCGAGACCAATTTGTAGCGAAGCCACGACCGGTAACAAACGGTTCAGTACCTGCGTGCCGTCAGGTAAAGCTACTACACCATCTTGCTGCGAGCCGTCTAATCCAGTGATCTGCGATGCATCTAATGTGGTGTCATGCTCATCATCTTCATCCATTTCAGTGTCTTCCAAAGGCCCTTCCTCTGCGTCATCTTTAGCATCCATGATTTCATCAATTTCCTGCACGCTGCCCACAGAATGAGCTTGCAGATGACAATAAAGATGAACTTTTCGAACAAGAACTCTTCCGCACAGACAGCAGTGGTAGTGAGAGTTGTCAGTGACACGGCCATTCGCTTTCATGCACCTCAACTTACATCGAAGCATTTGATAACCTGAGAAAAAAAAGTGATTTATTCATATTTAAAAGGCGGTGCATTTACAGAAGTTGAAAAGGATGAAGTGTTCTAAACTTGGCATGCGAAGGAAGAAAACTAGTCAATTGTCTTATAGGAAGTTACTGATTTTGTTCATAACGGAGATAGTAAGAGAGAGGCGAAATCTCGAAACCCGAGCTCTTATGAAGAGACCCTTGATTTCCTGACAAAACAAGAATGGGTTGTTACCTCCATGTTGCACTATCTGCTTGCTTGAATGCATCTTTTCAAAGTGCCTCCTCATGCGGCCTGGTTTTTGTGGTTTGTTGTTGCACAGCGGGCAGTGATATCTCTTGTTAGTCTTGGTACAGAAGTGCTCGCATGAAGGGTCTGTACATTTGTAGATGTCCAATGTCTGGTCATTGGCCAGAACTGAGATGTGCACATTGTGCTCTGTGTTGCTTCCATCAACTTCAGCTTCCCTGATAACAACAGATGAATTAGAATGTTTTGCTGAGCTTAAGACTACATAAACTTACAAATGGAACAGGTTAACCCCCATTTCAAACCTGGATAAAGATGCCAAGAAAAACGTCACTAGCAAAAAAAACACTTGCAATGCCTTTTAAGTGTTTTTCATTGTTCCAATTGAAACTAGTCTAGGTCCAGGCCAGTCCCTAAGCGTTATCTCTTGCCCCATTGTCCTCAAAGTCTTGGAAAGGGCGAGTGAGTCTCTCTAGGGTGACGTCACTGTTCCCGGTAGAATCCAGGATTGACCGAGCCCAGAACGCATAGGGACTGGGTTGGGTTACATTTGTTTGATGTTTTTCGAGTGCCAGAGTAACCCCGGATTTGACTCCATAGAGACAGCTTTGAAATTGAAACAGAAACTGCACAGAAACTAGTTTGTTTACGCAAATTAGTCTGGTTTCAATCGGTCCAATTATCTCTGGTGATGGATCAGTGCTAACATCGGGGCTAACATTCCTGTATTTGAGTTAATGAAAAGATAAGATCAACTAAAACCTTCTAGCTGTCAACATCTAATAACCACAATAATAATATCATCCCTTCTACAAATTAGCCCATACGTTCTCCCCTTGGTCATTTGCCACTTTCAATTTGCCCAAAATTTTGCATAAGCTTTGGCCTCAGTTCCACTTGAGATGACTGTAACACCCAAGAGAAACAATGGTTATGCAAAATTTAAGGGGTAAAGAGGAAGGCAGACAAGGTGTTTAATGGGCAGCGTAAATGTGATGAATCCAGTGTAAATGTGATTGTGGTCAATCATAATATGATTAAAGAGAAGTTAAGGGTTTGTTTATAGTAGGCCCAATTACCCAGGAGATGGCGCAAATCAAGCCTAATTTATGATGGAAAGTGCACTTAGCGTATCCCACTAGTTTACGGGAACTCCACTCATATAGTTAGAAACCAATAATCCAAATAGAGCATAACAGGATTAGAAACCCCAACTGGCAGGAGGCAACTAGTTGGCTATTTACAAGGATGGCCAAGGATTTAAACTGGGGATGATCAAAAACAAATCCATCAAGTGGTCAGAGTGGAATCACTCACAATGTGGTGTAGATTTTAGCCACATAAGTTTCTTGTTCCTAAAATAATTATTGGTCTAGCAAACTCGAGCAAAAGATTTAAATGGATTAAACCATAGATGCTAACAGTGCAGTATACCAGTACTTTGCAGGTGTTATATTGCAGGGTATTTTGATTTTATTACATCTCTTTTACTTTAAACTAAATTAACTTATAATTTCTTTTGCCACAAATAAATAAACAAATAATAAAAAATAGCTTTTTCCCAGCTAAAACAGCACTGGAAAGTCATGCCCCAGATGACTGTCAGTCAACAGAAACAAAAAAAAATGTTGATTCTACTCTATGGATGCATTGTTTTAAGAACGCAGAGGAAAGGTGAAGGTACAAGCACTGAAACTATCATTCAACTGCAATTTCCCGATTAAGACCAAGAAATTTGGTCAAACCCTTCCAGGTAGATGCACCTTTTCTCACTGAGTTCTTCCCTGCCATGAGCCTGCACATTAACAGAACCAGGCATCTGTTACAGTGGCTAATCAGTGGACAAAAATATATGGGGAAGGGAGGGACAGGGGTAAACACAAGATCCAAAGGCTAAACAAAGCCCAGTAGCCACCTTGAACATGGTACCAAGTACATGGAACTGATCCAAACAAGGGTAACTGCACCAGCAGCACCAAACTGACCACTAAGACTTAGTAATAACATAAGATGGTGCTCCTAATTGTTAACTGGGCTACAATCCATTTACTTACTTTTATAAATTATGTGAAAGCACTTTAATTTCAAAACCAATCCATGAAGAAAATGCAAGTTGTTACAACAAGATTATTTCAAGCTACTCGCTAGAATTGTGTCACTAAAGATGAAAGTAGCTCAGTGCTATACAAAATTTGAACTTAAAGTACAAGTACGATAACATTACTTGATGCTGGTATTTCACTATTTTTTGCTTATACTTCAGTTAAGAGTATCGTCTCAACTTTACAAATTCACTACACACAAGATTGATCAACTTTTCTTAAGCCAGGTTTTGAATGTCTAGCACATTTTTCATATAGCCTAAAACAAACTGAGTTTTAGGAGCAACTAAACTCAGTTTGAAGAGCAACTAATCAAATTGAACTCCTTTAGCTGGTTTTAATCTGTTGAAGAAAAGAAAACAAACAGCAATTCAGTTTGCCTTCTGTTGAACACATCCAGTTAAAACCAACTAAAGAGAGAAATTAACTGTTCTCTTCAAGATGTACAGTGTGCTTGTACTTTGCTTTTAATTGCTGAAGAGGTTGTTTGCTACACAGGTGTCCTCTTTTTGCCCCAAGGGGATAGAGATTTGCCATAGATTTCAGTCAACACCTATGGGTATTTGATAAGTTGACCACTTCCCCAGGGGCCCTGTTGAACTACCCATGGGGTAATTTACTCATAGATGCATTAGCTGTTGAGAAATGTAATACAGTAACACTCAGAATTAACCTACACTGTAACAGGGAACTCTAAAGAGAACACATTTCAGATCTGTTCAGTTTTTTTTTCTCATTGAATCTGTTCTTTTTCATCATCTGTTCTATACCCATTCTAAATGTATTTGCAAACGGATTCCCTGTTAGCTTAATTCTGAGTGGTACAAAATTATGCTTCAGTAAAATAAAAAACTCTTAAATCTTACTTTCTACTGCCTGGATTGATAAGACTGTGCCCTTGTTTTCTTTTCACTGGGGGAGCCTGGCTGGTCTTCTTTGGTGGAATATCTATTGAACAGTTCAACAGAACCATCAGTTTATAGTGATACTGATTAGGATTCTTCAAAAAATCTTCCATTTAATTGGTTCTCTATCTTTAGGAACTAATCAAAGTTGTATAAAACGAAACTGCCTAAAAGATGTCAATATTGTCAAGAGGCATATTTTGAACCCAAAAATGAAAATTATAAAAATTCTACAGAAAAGAGAAAGTACTACCAAGGATGTTTCCAATTTTAAAATTATGAAAAATGGTCACATCACATGACACTCTCCATACAGCTGTACATTCAAAAATAAGAACAAGAGCCTTTATAGCTGACAGTCTATGCAGATGTTTCTATTTAATATTTTAATTTTCTGTTTGAATACTCACCAAAGACTGACGAACCAGCTGCAGCTCCATCCTTACAAGAAAAAGGCAAGGAGCAGGATGTCAGAGCTATGAATACTTTATCACTGTTTTTTTTACTATATATGGATGTACATGCATTTATGGTTTGTACCTTTCCTGTGTTAGAAAGATTTCAGATTAGTTTTAGCATCACTAAAATTTTCCTTTGTGGTAGAAACCCAGTTCAATACAATCAAGCCACAACAAATACGGTAAGTAACAGTTACTACTTAGTACTAAGAGCTTTGTTCCATTATTTAGTTTTTCATAAAAATCACTATGTCCATGGTTCGTACAATTTCAGACAAACAAATTTTAAGGACTTTTCAAGGATTTTTCAAGGACAAATTTCAGTTTTCAAGGACTAAGATTTCTCAGAAACTCATAAGGGGTTGTTCGGGTTTCTGGATTTATTTAATAAATCAGCATTCTTTAACTCCCTTTGATCACTCTATTGGCTAAAACATGTCATGGAGTAATTTACGAGTTTTACTTCTTCCGCCATCATTGATCTATAATAAAATATGATGAAAGACGTTGTTCCTGAAACGTTTTACTGACGGTATGACTTGCGATTGCATGTAAGGTAATGAAGTAGCATTTGAATTAACAAAACAGAAATAAAATATTGTTCCAGATCATTTCAAGATTGTAAAAACCATGTATGTCTTTCAAGTAACAGTGGAAAATTGATTGATTAATTAATTAATTAATTAATTAATTAATTAACTTACAATAATAATAATAAATAGACACAATTAAAATATTATCAGTGATGTACCTTTTGATTTTTCAGTCTCTCCAATGAATCTGATGACACTGTAGAAGAATTGAACAGCTTGAGTTAATGATTAACAATAAAAATCTTTAATTCATAAAAATAATCATTCTTTTATATTTGTAACTTTATGAGCCTCACTAATGTTGTGAGCAGGTGAAATTAACACTCTACAGAATTTTTACTCTAAAATAAGTGTGCAAAGAAAGTTGTGTCTGATAGTCCAGGGCTAGTGAACTTTGCTATCAGGCTAGTGAATTCTATTCTTAACTTGCCTGACTGGAGAGTGAAGTATTTTGGGGGGAATTCCAATAATTAACAATTATTGGATGAGGTTGAGCAAAATATCGTGATTTGTCTGTGGCGAGCAGATCAATTATGTGGTGAAGCCAAAGGCTAAGGCAAATAATTGATCTGCGAGACACTGACAAATCAGAATATTTTGTGATAACTGAGTTCAATAATTGTTTTATCATTCGATCACCGAGTTTGTTTTTTTAATGAATATCCTTGGGAAGCGAAGCGATCGGCCATTTTTATGCAAGAGCGATTGCAAGGAGAAAAGCACGGTCTCCTTTATGCATGAGCAGACCATTATTTGTAGGCAATTATTTACAGGTCACATGGTGGCCTCTTGGACAATGAAAAGAAAGAAAAACTTGCTTCAAATGATAATACAGAATACTGCTGATCAATTATTTGTTTGCACTAGTTAAAATGAGTCAGCGGGAATAGCAAGCTGTAAAACTGACTACGTTAATTGCACCTTGAAAATGAAGCCAATGATTCATATACCAGTAAGTTAAAATAAACATATAAGAATAATGTACTGTTCAGAATTTCCTCTGTCTCCTAGCCCTTATCATTCATAGGTGACAGAGAAAATTCTGGTTTAGACCCAATTCAAACATCAAACTTTTCATGTACAAACTTAATACCTATCATGAAGGGACACAAGTTCGATGGTTGATTCATATATCAAACTACATTAGTGGGACGTAATTCACTTTCACAATGTCCATTGGTATACAATGCTTACTAGTAGAATAAAATTTTAGTAATTTATGCATTAGGTTTGGCACATCATTGAAGAGTTTGACGTTTGAAACGAAGTCGCTCCACAGTCGAAACTCCCATGTGGGCCACTCAAACTTTTAAATTTATGGGTCGACTCAAATTAGAGATGTCTGATTTATTGGTTATTGGTTCAAACATATATCTTTTCATGCATTTAATTGAAAGGATTAGGATTGGTACATGAAAAGTTTGATGTTTGAACTGGGCCTTACTAACAACATTTTCATCACATTATTATAACTACCTTTCAACTGTTCAGTAAGTTGTGATACTCTGTCTGCCAGTCTGAAAAGAATTGTCTGCAGTTCTGTTTTCCTTTCACTTGCTTTTGCTTCATAGAGGTCATAACACAGAGATGGAATTCCTGTACCAACTGTTATGGCAATTTTATTTGCTATCTGTGCTACAGATACGCTGCCACTCTCGAATTCTGATCTGTTGAATTATATTACCGGTAGTCTTTTTGAGTGTCCTTAACTTCCCTTAATTTCTAATAATTCGGTAAATGTGTTTTAAGACATAGCCACAAATGGTCTTGTACCCAGGGTTTTCCATAAGAGAGGGGCGGCCGCTGGCTATTTCACTTGAACTTGCCATCTACATTTCTTTGGAAATTACATGTACCCCAGTTTAGCAACGACGACGGTGACGGCAACGCGGAGGATGTCAAAAAAGCAATAGGTTTATTACGCGAAACAACAACTTTGCATATGCACCACGCATTTTTGTACATTTCTTTACTGTCCTTGCACGACTATGACGTGAAAATGCCTAATTGCAAGATTTATGGAGGATGTAAACAAGTGAAGACAAATTTTTTTTTCGCTCTATAAAGTTGAGTGCACTCTTCCAGAAATCAGCTCCAAGGAAATTCATCTACATTTGCCATTTTCAGCAAATTGGTATAAACGCGACAGTGTCTGAAAAAGAGGAATTCTTTTTAAAAGTGATGTTTTCACTGCCATTGCCGTCATCGATGCTAAAGCTCCCTACTGAAACAACCAATGGTTCATAGCTATTGGAAAGAAGAAATAAATAAATAATAGAGTATTCATGTGCTGTCACTGAATAAAAAAGTCGAAATTCTATGATGTCTGTGTTCTGTTCAAACACTCTAAGTAAATTTTTCTTTCTTTTCCTAACCCACCTAGAAGCTTGTGGCTTCAGCCCTTGAAAGTCGCACCTTTGGCATGAGTTTTTTCCTTCTCTGCCTACTCCAAAGCTTCTGCCATCTACTTAAAACCTTATTGAAAACCCTGTGTACCAGTGACAGACAAAAGATTTTTAAAAACCTTGTTGTTTTGGGTAAATTTAGCTGTTGCGACACTTCCATTTTTGTGATCTGTTTTATTTCAACAGTTTTATTTTTTTTTTCATCTAATCGTATACTAGTGTTAAATATTTCTCATCACCATGCATGAAATCCAACTCGACAAATAAAATCAATAAATTATCAGTAATCTGTAACGCACCTTTAAAAGAAAAATCATTAGTGGTTCTCATGGAGGAAAAATGTCATGCTCTTGGATCACTAACGGGTCATAATTCTTTCCTTTACACTTTCCAAAAATAAGTTAGTTGGCCTTGGGAAACCAAACACTCTATGGGATTTTGGAAGCATTTGGGAATTTAATTGATAAAAAAAATCGATGTTAATTTGGAATTTGACTCACTAGAATTCAGCTTACATTACCAAAAACAAAAATTTGTGTGCTCACCTGAATCTTGCAAAATATGTGTCGTACCCATCAACTGCAGCCAGTTCTCTCTGCAAAATATGCATTTGGAAAAAAATTCAGAAACTAAAATTAATAATGGCCACGAAGCAATTGACACACAGGTCATATGAAAAGAAAAATTGTCGTAAAAAATATTTAGTTATCTTACATGGGAATCAAGTTGTGTTTTGTCCAGTTGTAAGTGCCACACATCAACTCCATCAGATGCACTAAAAGTCAAAACAAAATACATGTAATTTAATACCATATTAAAGTGTTTTTCCATGCTGATGTATGATGCTTCATGAAGCTTAAGGGTGCAAATAAACAAGGAAATGCTTATGGAACATGCAACATAAGACGTGCCATCCCTGGGGGAGGGCGGGGGCATAGCGATTTGGGCCCTTTAAAGACAAGATGACAAAACCAGCAATGACACAGGGACACAAATTACAACAAAAATAAGCTTATTTCAATATTCTTTGCTACACAATAAGCTAAGATAAGGCAATATTTTTTCCACTACTTTTATTTTTTGTTTCCCTTCTTCATTTTTTCCAAAACCCCTCCTACTGTAAGGGTCAGCTAACTGTTTTAATTTTAGGATTCGAAATTATATACCCTGTTTAGGACACAGCGGTACTTTTCTGTAGAGGCAATAGAAGATAGTGCACCCCCTAGGCCATAAGTACCCTTTTCCTTCGCCTCTGTGCCACAATATGCTTGCATCGCTGGTGAAAACCTAGCTTAACACATGTATACAGGCTTAATTCCATTATTATTTTATCTATTGGACATATACATGTGTTTCAGACGAACCTCCTAAAGAAACCCACATAAATGTCACGAATCCTTTAAACAGAGATTGTTCCACTGTCTAGTTNGATGACAAAACCAGCAATGACACAGGGACACAAATTACAACAAAAATAAGCTTATTTCAATATTCTTTGCTACACAATAAGCTAAGATAAGGCAATATTTTTTCCACTACTTTTATTTTTTGTTTCCCTTCTTCATTTTTTCCAAAACCCCTCCTACTGTAAGGGTCAGCTAACTGTTTTAATTTTAGGATTCGAAATTATATACCCTGTTTAGGACACAGCGGTACTTTTCTGTAGAGGCAATAGAAGATAGTGCACCCCCTAGGCCATAAGTACCCTTTTCCTTCGCCTCTGTGCCACAATATGCTTGCATCGCTGGTGAAAACCTAGCTTAACACATGTATACAGGCTTAATTCCATTATTATTTTATCTATTGGACATATACATGTGTTTCAGACGAACCTCCTAAAGAAACCCACATAAATGTCACGAATCCTTTAAACAGAGATTGTTCCACTGTCTAGTTCAACAGGCTAGAATCTTCTGGGGGGTCGTCAGGATTAAAGAATTTTCTAACTAATTTTGTGACAGCCGTGCCATGTTATCTATTCTGTTTTAATACCGGCTGAGGTCGTGAAAACGTGTCGACAGACTATGTTTCTACATCGTATTTTCCAAAACCTATCCCACCGCGAACCTAACATTTTGGCAAGCGCAGACATCAAGCGTTTTGTTGTAAACAAGGAGGAGAGGAGGAGAAAATGAAGACACAAGCTACGATTCAAAATCCGCACTATGTCGTTTAAAAACATTTTTCGTTGTTGGAGAAAAAACCACTTACTTAATAATCCAGAGGGAACCTTCCTCGGAAAGTCTTGTCCATACAAGAAATTTAACAGGCCCACAGAGGGCAGTAGTATGAAGTGCCTCCACCTTATTTGCCCTCAACAATGAGGCCAAATCGATGGACCCTTCTGAAGCCTCCGCCATTTTGGCTACTCTTGCGAGTGCTTTCGGTGGCTATCACGGGGTGGACCTTACCCGAAAGGGCCCGTAAGGGTTCGGTTTTCCGGCTGGTTAAGTGAGCTGAAAGGGAATAGGAAGCTTTGACAAAAGCGTTTACTTACATGTAAAAAGAATAAAATACTGTTATTACATAAAAACTCTTCGTTTAGTTTCCGCCGAGTCAAATCATTGTCTTTTTTTTTTTCACTTCAGAGGTGCCGTAAATTGTCGGGCTTCAGGTTCGATTTAACTCCGGAAGTCCTCGTACAGATCATCGCAAAGCATGATTGGATACCTTTCTTTTCATTACCCGCCATCTGCTGTTTCAGAGCTTTGATGCACAGAAAGCTCAGAGCTTGAATTGCCTGCTACATCATCTTTAGAAATCGGCTCCTGGCCACATTGAAACATAGGCGCTGCTGGGGGGGCACACACACAGCTTGTTGGTAAGCCGCGCGAAAGTTAGCCTCCTACGCAGGCGTTTTTAGGGGAGCTCGTATTTCTTCCTTCCCCACAAGGGGAAGAAATACGAGCTCCCCTAAAAACGCCTGCGTGGGAGGCTACGCGAAAGTGGGAAAAAATGACCGATTAACATACGTCAAGTACAGCTGTATCACCAGATTTGAGAACACCTTGTGACAGTCCGAACTCTAGCAACGCTCTCATTTTGTGTGCGTTTTTTGTAATTTGTTTTGTATTTTGCTTTATTGTTTGTTTGTTTGCTTGTTGTTGTTGATGTTTTTTTTCCTTTTTGTTTTATCTTTGGGTGTCTGAATGTTAAGTTCAGGGTCCTTTCTCGAAAAAACCGTGAGGCCCAGTAACTTTTCGGCCCGCATAGCTGTTTTAAGTTTGTCGTGTTTACATTCAAGATAAAAGTTTCAATAATTTGGAAAATGAAACGATGAAACTATCAGTACAGTTTGCGCAGCAAGCGTTTCCGTGCGGTTCAGAGCAAAGAACGAGGAACCAGAGTCTAGAAGTCAAAGACTGCGCAGCTCTCATTCCATTTCTCGCGCGGCCAAAACCGAAAATCTCGTTCCTCGGTCTACCAAACGGAAACGCTTGCAACGAAAGCTGCAGTTAACGAAGCAAAATTGACTGGTATGTGAGCTAGGATATGTGCTACTATTCAAAAGGTTTAAATTTTAAAATTTGCCTACAGGCCCAAAAAGCTACCGAGCCTTTCGAGCCCAAAATGTTGACGGGACTTTCGAGAAACGGGACTCTACGTGGTCCCTCCTCTCTCTGTGGCGCAAAGATTGACCAAGGGGGGTGGGGGTGGGTTGGTTGAAACTGGACAATGGAGTGCATGGATGGTTTTTTTCCTTTAATAAATGAGACAAGTTCACCATGTCTAATCGTAAATACAAAGTCAAACTTCTGAGTCTTTTTAGACTCAGAGATTTAAAAAATAGTCTTTAAAAATAGTCTATTCAAAAATAGTCTTTCTAATACTAAGAACAGCGTCTTCAAAGACTGGGACGCACGAAGAAAATAAAGCCAAACCTTCTGGCCATACCAGCTTCTTGGTTATCTCACGTTTGACAACATAGCGTAATACATGGCGGCCTTATGCTAAAGTTTTAGTCTTTCGAGTAGAATTTCGTTAGAATTAGATAAACTTTCAAGGCTCAGAGAGCTAAATACACAGTCTTCAGTGTACCTTTAAAAGAGGCCTTGTAGTTTTACTGTCTAGAGAGGGCCCTTCAATAAGAACCAACTCCAAGACCAAAACGTAAGGCTCAATAAATTTATATAACTAAATTTTCTCTATAGCTCGAGATTTATCATCGTCTTTACATAATTTTAGCGCCTACAACCTCGGATCATTAGCTTCAACAGTACTTTCCATCCATAACCGAGGAGTCCGGAACTTTTCAACACTCAGTAGCTTCTTTATCGGGGATAGAAGCGGAATCATTTGAATTTTGATATTCATGATTCGTGTCGTTTTTTGCCTCAATTATTCATGATTCCTACAAGGATTTCCCTCCAGATTCATGATTCACGAACTGACTTTTGATCACCTTGAGTTAACGATTTTCTAAGTCACTGTATTAGTCTCGTTTTGTATAGTTTCTTTGGTGTTCAGACTCCTTCTCCATCCAGACTCGGTATAATCATTCGTTTTGTCTAGCCGTAAGTATGGAGTTGTTTTTGTAACTGACCATTAAGCACCAGGTTACTGGAGAAACAAGCGGACTGTCAGCCCCGAATGCACGAATTATATAGGGGGTCCGGGGGCATGCACTCCCCGGAAAAAAATGTTTGAAAATTGGACTCTCGGAAACGCCATATTCTGCATTCCCTGCAGGGATTGAACGCAATTAATTCATACGCGTATTTTGTTGAGCTTTCTCAGAGTCTCGTTATTCATGATTCATAAATGTTTTGTAATTATAATTCTTGATTCATAATTCCGCTTCCACCCCCGATTCTGTATTTTCTAAGTTACCATCAGCAAATAAATGCACACGATTACAACAATTTCTGTCGAGGTGTAAAGCTTCTCTTTCATGACGCTTTACAATCCTTATGCTAGCGTGAAAAGTAAAAACTATAAAAACCGAGATAATTTAATAACAGAGCTTAAAAATATGAATACATGTACAAGACAAACTGCGAGAGATAAAATTTTAAAATCTAAAATCTAAAAACAAAAAACAAATTTACAGAGGATATAAACGTAAATATGTGTACCAGCAATCAAATTAGAAGCCACAAGCTTTTTCTAAAATAGAAGTCTATTTTTTAAAAAAATTAATTGCTATTGATGGAGATANAGCCCCGAATGCACGAATTATATAGGGGGTCCGGGGGCATGCACTCCCCGGAAAAAAATGTTTGAAAATTGGACTCTCGGAAACGCCATATTCTGCATTCCCTGCAGGGATTGAACGCAATTAATTCATACGCGTATTTTGTTGAGCTTTCTCAGAGTCTCGTTATTCATGATTCATAAATGTTTTGTAATTATAATTCTTGATTCATAATTCCGCTTCCACCCCCGATTCTGTATTTTCTAAGTTACCATCAGCAAATAAATGCACACGATTACAACAATTTCTGTCGAGGTGTAAAGCTTCTCTTTCATGACGCTTTACAATCCTTATGCTAGCGTGAAAAGTAAAAACTATAAAAACCGAGATAATTTAATAACAGAGCTTAAAAATATGAATACATGTACAAGACAAACTGCGAGAGATAAAATTTTAAAATCTAAAATCTAAAAACAAAAAACAAATTTACAGAGGATATAAACGTAAATATGTGTACCAGCAATCAAATTAGAAGCCACAAGCTTTTTCTAAAATAGAAGTCTATTTTTTAAAAAAATTAATTGCTATTGATGGAGATAATTCCTTTTCTTTATGTACAAACAAAATAGCCCAATCAAGAGGGCAGTGACTATCCCTATAAAGTACTAACGGCGCGCATGTGCAGCAGCAAGTATACTACAGTGGCGGATCCAGACTTGATAAAGGGGGGGCGGTCTCAACAATTTTTTTTTGGCCCTTCGAGCCTCAGTTTGGTCTCGTAGCAAAGTACTATTTTCGCAGCCAAAAAAAGAGGTCAATGTTAATTGTGATTATAGAAAAAAAAAATTATCACGTCAGCGGACCACCAAAATATAGGGCAATATCAATATGAGGTATATCAGAACGTTTCGACTGTATACTACCAGTCTTCACCAGGAAAAAAGTTCGACAGCTCACGCGTAGACTAATGAAACACGATGCTTCGCTGTGATTGATTATTTTCAGCTGCTGTGATTGGTTCATAATTTTCGTCTTTGCTTTGTTGATGTGCTGTTCCCACGTGGGTCCGCTGTTGTACGGTTCCTCTCGTGTGTTTCTTGAGCGTGGCCAACCAAGCTTCTGAAATTTCTATATATTCCGCTGTGCAAGTCCCTGTTGATGTTGTTATAGTGAAGTCCTATAGCGATCTATAAGAATTTCCAAGAAACCACAGAAGGATTCAAATGACCAAGAGCAAGGGGAAAACTATTTTCCTGGAAGAGCGAATCAAAACAATGTCGGCTATACTTCTAGAAACACAAATTTAATTTACAAAACCGCTGAACAAATGATTTACAAAGTACTTTCCTTGTGTTTTATCCGCATCATGTTTTTCCTTCACTAATTGATGTTTCTCTTTTTAGATAACATCGAAAACCGTCGCTTTTTAGCTTGAGGCTCCCGTATGTTTGTGCAGTTGTTTTCACTCACCAAAACGAAACTGGCCGTGTTTTTCTCCGCCTTCTCTCAACCATTTTCCACCATGCGTTGATCACGTGCTTTTGTATCCCAAGCGGGGTGCAATTGCTCAATTTTATCACGATCGGGAAGCATTTCAATTTACTAAAGGCCTCGTGACTAAGAACCAAAGTTCCTGTTTAGTTTAGTGAAAGTCTAGGAATATAACAACTCGAGTTGCATCGTGTAATTTAAACCTAGAAGTAACTTGCGATTGTCCCGATTTCGATTCTCAGTACACGGTACGTTTCAGGTTGTAGGTTTCTCGTTAGCACATCATATGCGACAAAGTGATAAGGTCTAAACTGACGCTACAAAACCGTTGCGCTTTTCAAAACTGTAGAAACAAGAAAGAATATAGGGGGAAACCGACAAAGACACCAGAAAAAGTGATAAACCGTAACGAAAAAGACAATACTGTGGAAATAAGAAAAGAGAAGAAGAGAAGTTAGTTGGAAATGGTTCAGCTAGTCGCTGTCTAGATCTTCGGTCTCCGAACCATCATCGTCATCGGGATTGTCCATTTCCAAGTAAAAGTTGCGCTGAGGGAGAGGGATGTGAGAACGAGCCATAGCTTTAAGATCACGGACTTTCTTGGCACTCAGTACAAGCGAAGAATGGTACAACTGTTCCAACGAAACATCACCCGCCCTGTCCTTAAGTATCTTCACCTTTCTCCAGGGCTCTTCAGAGGAGTAAGTGTTTCGCATCCAAACTTCGTTTGGATGG